TTAAAGCAATATCAGCACTGGTACAGCCTTTTCACCCTTGTGTATTACTCCGCCCACACTAGGACTAAACAACTCACTACAGTTTGACAAATATTGCAGCTGTTGGACAACATCATGTACTTTTGAGGCTTTTTTAGTTGAGAATGGAGTTGTTTAGATTGCAACTATGCAGTTTGTTTGGAAGGACAGTGTCTATTTTAAATATTCATAATTTCAGAGATTCAGCACATCGGTGGTCATCAGCCTGTCATACTGAGCAGAGCAAAGTCAGCAGACGTTCTGCCAGCAGATGGCGACAGAGACCGCATACTAAGCCTTTAGGTTAGTATTTTTAAGCCTTTAAGGAGAAAAACTCAGCGTGAATTTCAAACTACAGCTGATCAAATCATTATTAAACAGGTAAGTGACTTTCTAAGTCGATCTCTCTCTTTTGTATGTTGTAGTGCTGTATTTATACCACAGTAATCTGATAGTGTTTGCTTTGCTTTGGCTTTTTCGGGGTTAATAATTGTGATCTGATTGCAGCAGAGAAATACTGGGAAATCTCTGTAGACTGATGGCATTTCATGCTGTTCAGCCTTATAATTTTAAAATGTGAGCAAAATCCGCTGTTTTGTCATCACTTTAGACATTACGCTAGAGAATCACTCCAGCACGAGCTCTACAGTGAAGTTGGTGAAGTAGCAGCGGTTTCTGCTGTTCTGATGGTCAGCTGCAGATGTAAATGAATGGCGGAAGAAAGTAGTTCCTCAAACAAAAGGTTTTTCGAGACTTTTGTGTTTGATTTTCTTTTATATATATACAAAATTATGCCGTCGAACTGTTGTATAAATGCAATATCACGCTTGTAGCAGTGCAATATGGCTGTATATCGTCAATGGTGGGACACTAAAGGGGGTCGCACACCAGAAGCGAAGCACAGCGACGTGCCTCGACAGGCAGCGCCAGAATTCTAAACATAGGTTTTTTCAGGGTACACACACTGGCGCAGCAAGTCGGCGGCTGTCTGCGGCGCCCAGCCACAACTCAAGACACTGTTCATATTTCTGCCACGCCACAAAGCGCCATCTGAATAGTTATATATTAAATAACATGCCAATGTATGTGTCTGGTGTGTGATACGTCCACTGTGATGTGCATGTCCCGGTGCATATCGGCGCATCCGGTGTGCGACCTGCTTATGCCACTCGGTCTGCGACCTCCAGCTAACGCACGCCTCCCACCAGTGCTGATATACAGCCACATGGCACTGCTACTCGTGTGATATTGCTCATAAATATCAGTAGTGATATATTGTCTGGGTTGGTGTTGTAAATAACAGTATAAAGCCTGGTAATAAACCAGCAGAACTTTTTCTGGTATGTTATAGGCTTAATTATATATAATAATATTAAATAAATATTAAAAAATATAACGTCATATATGACGACTCAGTGGCTCAGTGTTTAGCACTGTCACAGCACAGCAAGAAGGTCGCTGGTTTGAGTCCCGGCTGGGTCAGTTGGTGTTTCTGTGTGGAGTTTGCATGTTCTCCCCTTGTTGGCGTGGGTTTCCTCCGAGTGCTCCGGTTTCCCCCACAGTCCAAACAGTAGGGTAACTGATGAACTGTAGTGTGAATGAGTGTGTATGGGTGTTTCCCAGTACTGGTGTGCAGCTGGAAGGGTATCTGCTGCGTAAAACATATGCTGGAATAGTTGGCGGTTCATTCCGCTGTGGCGACCCCTGATGAATAAAGGAACTAAGCCGAAGGAAAACGAATGAATGAACTTTATATACAATAAATTGTTTTAAAATACTAAAATGAGTGCAAATATTTCAAGATGACGATCAAGATCCCTTAATGCAATTCATAAATAAATAAACTGAAAACACCTGTCAATCATTAAAATACTGAAGATGTTAATTAACGGACTCTTTGTTTACAGTGCATTAATAACTGCATGTTTATATCAAAATGACACACACAGAAAACACTTCAGATCAGATGTGCTGAATATTTGCATTATATCACAAGTCGATCGGATATTATTCTGCAAAAAAAACTGTACCTCATTGTCTGACATAGATTATAATAATAAAGCGTTCACATTTAATTAAAAAACCCTTACAGTAAGTTCAGCTTTATAGAAACTCCGACATGCTCTTTAACTAGCTCCCTGTTTGGTTATAGACACGTAACTCTGATGCCCAATCGAGTTTAACCAGAGGATTTCCTGAAAGCAAACCGTCTGTGTGTTTGGGTGGATGTGTTTGTGGATTTACGACAGGGTGAACGTTGTTTTCTCCTCTGCTGTTTCTGATCAGTTAGTTTTCTTCTTTCTCCATTTCTGATGTTCTGTGCCTTTAAATCACGTTCTCGAAGAGCTGCAGAGACCTCATGATGTTCTCATCCTGTACAACACCAACACAACAAAGATGCTTAATCAGAGACTTCACAAGGACAGGTGGAGAGAGAGAGAGAGAGAGAGAGGAACACATAAAAGATAGTCATGCAAACTGTTAATAATATTACAACACATTAGAGACGGGGTGATTTCTAACTTTACAGATGCTTAATCAAAGCTGCAAGTCTCACTCACTGCCACTAGAGGACACTGTTCACTTTCGGAATGAACTTTAAGGCTGGCTATTTGCAATGTATACTGCAAAGTCTAATGTATATAATACTATAAATCTGAATTCCTGATCCTTATTATTAGTTAAATACTCTGCAGTTCTGAGCATGACGTCGTACCTCTGTACAGGAGACAATGAATTCATCCAGAGTGACGACTCCATCTCTGTTCTTGTCCATCTTCTGCAAACAAACAAACATCCATCTGTCTTTATATACAGTATTTATGAACAGATTTTGATACAGAAACAGACCTGTAGCCAGCCTGGTAAAAGAAGTGGACCTTTTTGCAGTTATTTGTCTCATTAATTTTATTATTAGGCTCAAATGCTGCATTTTACTGACATTTTAAGTAATACCTTTTTGCTGAATTGGCTTAACAGATGATTCCGCTTGGTCTTAAAGCCTTTTTCAATGGGCTAATTTCACTGTTTATGACGGCATAGCAATCAAAATAGGACAAATTAGCTCATGTATGGCAGAAATCCTGGACTTTTGTAAGTGGTCCAAGCTTTCGAACCAACTCCCAACCCCCTCCCCTCGCCCACGGGTAGTGGAGGTTCACAATCACAGTCTGACCTGAAACAGTGTTGCCAACTATTTTGAATGAAAAGTAGCTAAAGCCTGGACGAAAACTTGCTAAATGTTGCCAAATGATGTTACACTCTAATTTGCATATCAGTGACGTCATCACGTAGTATCTGACAAGCGTAAGCCCGTCATGTTCTTCTCTTTGAGGCGCCGTGTATTATATTATATTAAAACATTACATTCAGATGCACAAAAAACAGGTTCTCATTAACATATTACTTTGCGTGATGACGTTTTTGCGTAATCACAACTCAAAACTACATCTTTATGTTGTATATATATATTATATATCTTACACTACAGACAAAATAACTTTTTTATATTAATGCGAAATTCTTTATCCACAAACAAAAATTTCATAAATCTTCTCCCTTATTTGTCCATTTTTTTTAATTGAAATTGATTCCTTGCTTAAAGCTATACGTTTATCAAACAACAAAAAATTCTGCAAGTTGATAGAAACTTATGAAAATATCCTGCTTCCAGTTAGTCTTTAATGCTTTGTTTTTTGTTTGATTTTGTACTTCCCCTCTTTATTCTATTCCATTTTTTTCTCTTGATAAAAAAAAACTTATTAAAAATATATAAAATAAAAAATATAAAATAAAAATATGTAAAAAAAACATCTTTATGTAGTATACAAAATAATTAATGTTTTCTCAAACTGACTGGCCTCTTCAGCAAAAACATTATTTGAAATATGTCCATTTAGATTTGTATGAAAAATAGAGTTGAATCTGACAAGTGTAGTATCTGACAAGCGTAAGCTTAAAAGTAAGCTTTTTAAGTAAGCGTGAGCTTAAAAGTAATACAAACACTTTTTGATAAGAATTCTTACATTTTAAATATAACACTGATAATAAACCGGTACATTCTTTTAAACAACCACAACTTGTGTTCTTACTCTTTTTAACTTGTGAAATTAACACATTTGTGAAAGTGACAACAATTATAGCACTTTTGGAATTTATTGCTACCTAAATTACCAACATATCAACAAATATCAGTAAATTAAGAGTTATGAAAAACAATCTGAGCGAGCACTTAACTCTGAGTGAAGCCTGCAGCCACTGCTCTTTTGAGTCACTTTTTAAAAATTGCTAAAAGTAGCCAAATGAATGTTAAAAATTGTTACATTTGTTGCTAGGTGATTCCTAGGGTAGTATGAAAAGTTGCTAAATCTAGCAACAAAATTGCTAAGTTGGCAACACTGACCTGAAAGAAAGCGTCCACGTGTTGTTTTGGTGTGTCTGTCTTCAGCGCAGGATAGGTGAAGCGGCCCATCATGTCATATATGGCTTTCACAATATCCATCATCTCCTGAAACCAAAATATCGTTTTAATAAAGATGTGTAAAATATACAGTAAGTACAATATTTATGTACATTTGAAAGCAAAATTATGTTATTCTGTTTTAAACATTTCTTTCTTCTGGAGAAAGTCTTATTTTAATTTGGCTGGATTAAAAGCAATAAAATAATAAAAATAATTTTAAGCTCAATATTATTAGCCCCCTTATTGAGCAATATTACTTTTGAATTTTCTACAGAACAAACCACTGTTATACAATGACTTGCCTATTTACCCTAGTTAAGCCTTTAAATGTCACTTTAAGATGAATATTTCGGAAAACAATATGTGCTGTTATCATTAAATTAGTTATTAGAAATTAGTTATTAAAACTGTTAATATTTAAACATGTCTTATTTTATTTAAAAAGTGCATTAAACAGCACTTGGGAAATCTTTGAATAAGGCCTAATGTAACAGGAGAGCTAATCATATTGACTTCAGCTGTATGTGTTAAACACAAACACTTTATTGGTGCTATATGCAAGAATATTCATGAATTGATCAATTTATTTTCAACTGTTTGTAGCAAAACAAAAACAAGACCTTGCCCGATTCTCTCTTAAGGCCCTAGGTGTTTTTTTTACATGCATTTTTTATTTCTCTTTGCTATTTGGGCTTATTAGAACCTAATTAGAATAAAAATCTAAGTATCATCTTTTGATATGAGAAAATCATCCATATACAGTTGAAGTCAGAATTATTAGCCCCCTTTTGATTTGATTTTTTAAAATATTGCTCAAATGATGTTTAACAGAGGAAGGAAATTTTCACAGTATGTCTGATAATATTTTTTCTTCTGGAGAAAGTCTTATTTGTTTTATTTCGGCTAAAATAAAAGCAGTTATTAATTTTTTAAAAACCATTTTTGGGACAAAATTATTAGCCCCATTAAGCTAATTTTTTTTTCAATAGTCTACAGAACAAACCATCGTTATACAATGACTTGCCTAATTACCCTAACCTGCCTAGTTCACCTTATTACCCTAGTTAAGCCTTTAAATGTCACTTTAAGCTGTATAGAAGTGTCTTGAAAAATATCAAGTAAAATATTATTTACTGTCATCATGACAAAGAGAAAATAAATCCGTTATTAGAAATAAGTTTTTAAAACTATTATGCTTAGAAATACGCTGAAACAATCTTCCCTCCATTAAACAGAAATTGGGGAAAAAAATAAACAGGGTGCTAATAATTCAGGGGGGCTAATAATTCTGTCTTCAACTGTATGTGGACTCGTGGTTCCAACTTTTTTTTTAAGCAAATTTAACATAGAAATTTTTTTGGAAACTTGCTTTGACTATCAGAGAGTAAAAACAACATTTATTGCCATTTTGGACAGTTAAAAATAGTGTTTGTGACAGTGTATATGCTGCAGAACAGTTGCAAGATGACACTGTATGTCTGTAACAAAATATAAAACATTCAAAGTATTTTAAATAGCCACTTAAGAGCTAAAATGTGCTGTCCATGCATGTGGACACTCGGGCCCTAGGACGATTTAGGATAACTAATTTTGTCCCTAAAACAGATTCATGACACATTTACACAAACCCGTCACAAAAAGTCACGTTAAACCAACAGAATTAAATCATGTGGAACTGATGTACACAATTATATCAAGTCAATCCAATGCACTGTTTATTCAGTGTATGAGACACATACACACAAACACTCTTTGTACACACCTAGCACTAGCACTTGTACAGTAATCTTCATGAGGACTTCCCATTAACAATCTGCATTTTTACATTTACAAAATATTCATAATGTGCTGTTTATGAGCCGTTTTCCTCATGGGGACCAAAAATTGTCCAAATTTACTAATTTAGCTATACTCGTGGGGACATGTGGTCACACACACACACAAACACACACAATTTATAAGCCGTTTTCCTCGTGCCACCAAAACAAATGTCCCCACAAGGTCCAAATTTACTGGTATTGCTAAACTTGTGAGGACATTTGGTCTCACACACACACACACACACACACACACACACACACACACACACACACACACACACACACACACACACACACACACACACACACACACAAGTTTGTATAGCTATTTACATTTTAAAAACATTCATTCTCTGTGATTTATGAACCGTTTTCCTCATGGGGACCAACAATGTCCCCACAAGGTCCAAATTTACTTGTATTGCTATTCATGTGGGGACATTTGGAACACAAGCTAAACACACATACACACACACACACACACACACACACACACACACACACACACACACACACACACACACACACACACACACACACACACACACACCTGTACAGCTCAAAATTTATTGGCATTGCTATACTTGTGGGGACATTTGGAATACAAGCTACACACACACACACACACACACACACACACCTGTACAGCTCAAAATTTACTGGTATTGCTATACTTGTGGGGACATTTGGAATACTAGCAACACAAACACACACACACACACACACACCTCTTTGTTAATGTATCCATCTCTGTTGATGTCGTACAGGTTGAAGGTCCACTCCAGCTTCTCTGTTGTGGTTCCTCTCAGTAAGATGGACAGAGCCGTTACAAAGTCCTGACAGAGAGAAAGAGAAACAATGAAGAGGAATTCATCACAGAGGACACAATCTGAGAGTTTTCTGCTGACACAAACACATATATAAAGAACAATAGAAGAAATGCAGAGTAGAGAACAGAGAGAAACGTCACCTCAAATTTGATGGATCCGTTGTGGGAAGAGTCAAATGCGTTGAACAGGTAATGCGCGTATGTGCTGGCGTCTGCAGAGAGAACACAAACACACACACACTTTTGAAGCTGAGAACATTCACATGAGTCAACAACATTAGTTCACAATCTAACAATGATCAATAATATTTCTGTCATGAACACTCGAGATTTGGTATGGTAAAGAATATGTACAGGGTGGGCCATTTATATGGACACACCTTAATAAAATGGGAATGGTTGGTGATATTAACGTCCTGTTTGTGGCATATTAGTATATGTGAGGGGGGTTTTAAATAACTCGTGAAAGAATAACGTTACATTAAAACCCAGCACACCATTGTTTTTCATGTGAAATTCGCAATAAGTTAATTAAGGTGTCTCCATATAAATTGCCCACCCTGTATTTGGCAGTGTTGATGTATTTAGTCTTGGCGTTAAAGATCTACAACACTGCTGCTGTGACTTTGATTATTATGGCAGAGCAATTACCGAAACCTGCAAGTACCAGTATATACACAGACAAGCTGTCTGAGACTATAGCATGCTTCAGCAAACATAGTAAATATGTGTAACCCCCATAGCAGATCTAACACAGGTGGAGCTGGGGTGGAGGAGGGTCTCTGAAAACCTGCTGCAGCTCGTCACTTATCCTTTAGTTATTTATCTTGTGGTTTTCAGCATCTCCGAAAACGCGCTGCAGCTTGACAGCGTAAAATGACATGGGGCATTTAAACTGACTAAGAGCAAGCTCATTGGCTGCCGAGGAGGCAGCAACCAATCTCCTTCACCATGTAGTTTATGTTGCAGGAGCAGATTAGGTGACCTATCAGCCTGCATACAGTTTCATGGCAGAAAGTTCACTTAATATTTAATAGTAATAATACATTAATATTTAATAGACCTGAGCAAGCAAGAATATAAAGGATTTCAGATGATGCTAACCTTAATCCTACAGTAGCAAATGTACTGTAGGATGCACCTAGTATGCACTTTTATAATTTGTTTAAACAGTTGTGTGTCAGCAGTGTGTGGATATAAGCAGCTTCTAATGATTAAAATGTATTAATTGTGTTTGTTATAATCAGACTTTATAAAAACAGTCTGCAGAAACACTTTGATTGACATTTTCCCTTTGTACGTGTCATCAGAGGGGGAAAGCCCCGCCCACTAGTGACCATCTCTCCCTCATAAACATCAACAGTTCTAAGTGAGAAGCAGCCGTCAGCCATTAGAGTTTGAATCTGCCACTATGCTGACACATAGGAATTTGTAGCCCCGCCCCTTTTTTTAAAAAGTGCACAATCTCATTTGAATTTAAAGTGACAGTCGCCAAAACAGCACAATTTGGATCAAAGCCTGAAAGGGTCAGTTTCAGAGAGTTATAAAACATTATCTGTGTGGTATTTTGAGCTGAAAAATTCTCATCATACACGCTCTATGGACATCAGAGACTTATTTTACATCTTGTAAAAAGGGACATAATAGGTCCCCTTTAACTAACATCAACTAATACCACTGAAACTAAAACCACCCGTTTGACTGATCCATGCTTGCCATTTTAATCTTTGGATTAAATTATATGAATATTTTTACTTTATTTTTTCTTTTGTCTTTTATTGTAAATCGCTTCGAATCAACTAAGGTTTTACGGATTTAATTGTGCTCTATATATAAAGTTTGCCTAATAATGATAAACCACCACAATACAAAATATATAAATGTCAGTGATTTCACTGTCGTGAGCGAGAAACACACTGACCTCCATGAGGAAAGAACTGAGAGTAGATCTGCTTGAACGTCTCCTCATTGACAACCCCGCTGGGACACTCCTGAAACACACACACACACACACACAAAGATGATTGTGTGTAGATCTGGTATTCATAACATTATAGGGCCAAATGTGTCCGCAAGCATAGCTGTCACGAACACCAGTGATCTAGCATTTGCAGGTTGCTGGAGAACTACACATTTGCTTCAATGAACTACTACTCCCAGAGGTCTTTGCACTCACACACCAGTTCCCGATCCCTCCTGATTGCACACACTAAGCTGGAAGCCCAAGATGGACTGATTACCAAGACTATAATTGCATCTCACTCACTACACACACACATACTTGGCTGAGTCTTGTTATAGTGTAAGTGAGCATTATGAAGTGTTTTCTTGTCCTGCCTTACTGTGTTTTGACCCTTGTTTGTTTCTTCGTTTGTTTTTTTGCCACCTGTCCTGACCATACCATGATTTGACCTTGCTTTGGATTATCTACATGCTCCTGTTTGTCCCTGTTTTGACCTTTGCCTGTCTGACTATTCTGTTTAATAAAGCTGCATATGGATCTTCGCCTCTGGTGAACCGGCCTCATTATAGTATAGTAATACCTGTAATTTTAGACCTTTTTTTATTTTAAGACAGCTTATAGACTGACGTTTTTTGAAAATGAATATTGTTTCCTGTGAGACTTGAATTTCGGAGTAGGGTTTGAGTAAGGGGAGAGAATAATGTAGAGTGTGTACAGTAGAAAATGCATGTCTATGTGAAGTCCCCATTAAGTATGAAAGCCCCCAAATTGTGTGTGTGTGTGTGTGTGTGTGTGTGTGTGTGTGTGTGTGTGTGTGTGTGTGTTTGTGTGTGTGTGTGTGTGTGTGTGTGTGTGTGTGTGTGTGTGTGTGTGTGTGTGTGTGTGTGTGTGTGTGTCTACATACGTTCTTGAAGCCCCTGTACAGCACTTGCAGCTCTTTCTTGTTGAAGTTAGTTTGAGCTTCCAGCTGCTCCAGACCTTCAGGACGATGACAAACTATCGACAGCTCCAGATCATCATCCAGCTTATCTAAACACAGAGAGAGAAAGAGAGAGAGAGAGAGAAAGAGAGACTTACAATATAATTCTAAGGTGTGCCGTTATTTTGAGAACGTTCCAGAGAGAGTAGTTCCGGCAGGTTTAGAGAGCATTACAGCTCCATATCACTCCGCCAAATGATTAAAGTTATTTCACAGTCAAAATTCTCATCAAAACACAACAGAAGGCTTTGAAGGAGATGTTGAAGACATCAGGAGAAGTTTGAGCAGGACAAATGTCTCAAATACAACATCTCAACAGATTTATTAGAAATAAAATGAGATTATTAGAATTATTAAACATAATGAGAGAGTTCACTTTGCATCATGACCACTTCAGTACCTCAGTTGTGCATTATTTTCTAATAATCCAACAGCCCATAATCAATTATTCCTTACATGTTTTGTGATGTTTAATCACATCAGAATGATTTCTGAAGCATTGTGGTGACACTAAAGAGTGGACAAATAATGATGCTGAATATTTGGCCCCGAATCATAGAAATAAATGCATTAAATCTATGTATGTATTAAATCTATAGTAGTATACTATATTTACATTCATTCATTTTTCTTCAGCTTAGTCCCTCATCATGGGTCGCCACAGCGGAATGAACCACCAACTATTCCAGCATATGTTTTACATACTGTAGCAGATGCCCTTGAAACCCCAACCCAGTACTGGGAAACATCCATACACCCTTACATCTACACACACACACACACACACACACACATATACTCATGCACTACAGCCAGTTTAGTTCATCCAAACCATCACTGCGAGATGTATTGTTTTTTTGATACATGCTTCGAAGCCTCTGCGCACAACGTCACGTCACTATTATTTAGTTTAATAAATGAATTTTGCTGCACATGGATCTTCTTTTTGTGAGACCCTCCCGTGACAGGGTTTTGGCCTTTCATGAGAAAAAGTTTGGCCACTGCTGATCTATGAGTTTCTTTCTTAGATGTTCTGTCTTGTTTCTAGTCTAAATATCTAAAGATTCTTAAATCAAGAAGCATTTTCTAGACAAGCAAAACACATTGTCTTGTTTCCAGAAATAATATGCCAATATTAAGTGAGTTTTTCCTTAAAACAAGCAATATACTCTGACAATGGGGTAAGCAAAATAATCTTACGTCAAAGGAAAAACAATATTGTTTCATCGTATCAGAATGATTTCTGAAGCATTGTGGTGACACTATAGAGCGAACAAATAATGATGCTGAATATTTAGCACCGAATCATATAAATAAATGACATTAATTCTATGTATGTATTAAATCTATAGTAGTATACTATATTTACATTCATTCATTCATTTATCTTCAGCTTAGTCCCTTATCAGGGGTCGCCACAGCGGAATGAACCACCAACTATTCCAGCATATGTTTTATAAACAAGCAAAATAATCTGACAATGTGGTGAGCAAAATAATCTTACGTCAAAGGAAAAACAATATTGTTTTGCTGACTCCATTAGCAGATTATTTTGCTTGTTTTAAGGAAAAACTCACTTAATATTGGCATATTTTTACTGAAAAGAAGACAATAAGTTTTGCTTGTCTAGAAAATGCTTATTGATTTAAGAATTTGTAGATATTTAGACTAAAAACAAGACAAAAAATAAGCAAGAAAAGCATTTTTTTTTTTGCAGTGCATGCATTCATGTATCTGATTTCAACCAATTTTGTTCTTTAATAACTGAGACCGAAACCAGTAATGAAAGCTTCAGACGTACAAGAAGTACAAACAAAATAACAATAAAAATCTACCATTAAGTTAAAAACTCAAGATTACAAATGATTATAAATGCAATAGCATAATCTCAATTATACTGAAACACAACAGATTCTGCACATAAACTTTGTGGTAGTTCAAGAACATCAGTAAACATGAATGAGCTGTATTAAAGAGACAAACTCGCATATTCCAGGCATGTTAAATGATAATGCATAAGGACAAACCACTGTGTGTGTGTGTGTGTGTGTGTGTGTGTGTGTGTGTGTGTGTGTGTGTGTGTGTGTGTTTGTGTGTGTGTGTAGGAAGGACACACACAGGTGAGGTCCAGGGTGATGTGCCTGAGGCTCTCAATGCTGCTCAGTGTCCTTTAGACACACACACACACACACACGTTTGTTTTTGTGAAAAGTGGGGACATTACATAGGTTTCCATTCATTTTATCCAGCCCAAACCGTATATTACATTGCCCTCACCCCACCCCACCCCTAAACCCAACCATCACAGCAGACTGTGCAGCTTTACTCTCTGATTAAACTCATTCTGTAGGATTAGTAAGCATTTTGAGAAATGAGGACGTCACCAATGTCTTCATATTTCACCTCTTTTTGTAATAGCTGTGTCATACCCATGTCATTATACAGATTTGTGTCCTGATATGTCACAAAAACACGTACACACACACACACACAGAGAAATCCTTATGGGGACTTTTCATAGACACAACAATATTTTTATTTTTCTACTAAACAGACTGTATATTATCTCCTCCACCCCTAAACTCAACCCTCAGAGGGGACAATCTGCATTTTTACCGTTTTGAAATACTTCATTCTGTGTAATGTATGAACCACTGTTATCAAGGACCACCAAAAAAATGTCCCCACATGGTCAAAATTAACTGGTACTTGGCCATATAATGAATACAAGGCACACACACACAAACACACAAAATTATCATCACACACAGGCACACACACACCTTGATCTGATGAGTCCTATTGTGTGTTTTACTCAGCATTTGTGCTGATGAGTGAGAGTGACTGTGTGTGACGTTAAGCACATCTCTCGTTGCTCATGAGTCCGAGTGTGTGTATATGTATGTGTATGTGTGCATGTGCCTGTACATATATGTTTGTGTGTGTGTCTGTGTCTCTATATATATGTATGTATGTTTGTATATATATGTGTGTGTTCGTTCGTATGTATGTCACTCACCCTCAGTGCTGATGAGTCCCAGTGTGTGCAGGAGTTTCAGGGCTCCACACAGCAGCAGAACTATGGCTAAAGTTTGCAGTCCTTCTCCTTCCCCCTTCTCCATCACTCCTCATTCACTTTATTAATCTTATTTCCGTCTCTCTTTCACTCCAGTCTCTTTCTGAATTTGCTGAGTCCCCAACATCCATCTTTATATACACACACACACACACCTCTCTCTCTCTCTCTCTCTCTCTCTCTCTCTCTCTCTCCCAGTTTGTCCTCTTTCTGACTCTACCCCTCTCTTTTTCCCCTCTGTCAACACAATACACTTTTAAAGTCCCTTTATTTACCAGCGGTCGCCACAGTGGAATGAACCTTCAACTTATCCAGCATATGCTTTATGCAGCCGATGCCCTTCCAGCTGCAACCCAGTACTGGGAAACACCCATACACACTCATTCACATACACTACGGCCAATCTGGTTCATCAATTCTCCTATAGCGCATGTGTTTGGACTGTGGGGGAAGCCCACGCCAACACGGGGAGAACATGCAAACTCCACACAGAAACGCTAACTGATCCAGCCAGGAGTCGAATCAGTGACCTTCTTACTGTTAGACCACAGTACTAACCACCGCGCCACCCTTGTCTATATCAATACAGCTCATTTATGTTTATACACCTCGTTTAGGTTTCATTCAAATGACTTCAATTAACAATCCTGCATTATGGACTCCGAATGACACAAAAGTGTGTGTGTGTGTGTGTGTGTGTGTCCTTCACACTCAGGTAAGACTGCAGCCCCAGGTGAGTCCTGCCCTCAGGTAGGGCATTAAAAACAATGTCAAATCATTGTGTGTGGTTGTGTGTGTGTGTGTGTGTGTGTGTGGTTGAGTGTGTGTGTGTGTGTGTGTGGTTGTGTGTGTGGTTGTGTGTGTGTCTCATGCATCATAAAATTGCTGCAATAAAATAATCCACAATATAAATATAAAATAAACCCTTACACTTGTATTGCCATTACTAAAAAAAATTACTCATGAACTACCACAAATTGGGGTGACAGGGTGGCACAGTATGTAGCACTGTCACCTCACAGCAAGAACGTCGCTGGTTCGAATCTCGGCTGGGCCAGTTGGTGTATATGTGTGGAGTTTTGCATGTGTTAGCATGGGTTTCCTCCAAGTGCTCCTGTTTCCCCAACAGTTCAAACACATGCGCTATTGGGGAATTGATCAACTAAATTGGCCTTAGTGTATGAGTGTGTGTTTGTGAATGAGAGAGAGAGTATGGGTGTTTCCCAGTAATGGGTTGCAGTTGGAAGGGCATCCGCTGTGTAAAACATTCATTTATTTGTGCTTAGTCCCTTTATTACTCCGGGGTCACCACAGCGGAATGAACCGCCAACTTATCCAGCATATGTTTTTACGCAGCGGATGCCCTTCCAGCCGCAACCCATCTCTGGGAAACATCCACACACACTCATTTAAACTCATACACTACGGACAATTTAGCCTACCCAATTCACCTGTACCACATGTCTTTGGACTGTGGGGGAAACCGGAGCACCCGGAGGAAACCCATGCGAATGCAGGGAGAACATGCAAACTCCACACAGAAACGCCAACGGACCCAGCCGAGGCTCGAACCAGCGACCTTCTTGCTGTGAGGAGATAGCACTACTCACTGCACCACTGCGTCGCCCTATCATTTTAACAATGACTGTTTCAATAATGTTTTAATAAACTCTGATGCTTTAAGAGGCTCTGGAAATGAGATGTGCAGATATTATATGTACTGCAGTGAACTGATTAATTTTTACATTGGACTTTAAAGAAAGTTTAGCTGAACTGTGCATCATGAGGATTTAATTCAGCATTTTACCAATAATTCCTGCATCACGATTTTTAAGATGGCCACTAGATGGAGACAAACATCAACAAAACACGTCAGAGCTGGAGGAAATCACTGATTCAGAAATGCGCTGCTGTGTGTATGAATAAACACACTAGAACACGTGACAACACAAACCCTCACTCAAACATTTCACACATGCTGTATAACACTACTGCTGTTCCTAACCCAGAAGAGCTCGATTTCAGTGCACTACACGCACACACACACACACATACACACACACAAACGCACACACGCGTCCAAAGACGTGTGTTTCACTGTAATCCTTCAGTTTAAACCGCTAGTTTGCATAATCTGAATTAGCATAATCATTACATTACCATAGCAATTGAGGAGAGCTCGGTTTCTGAGAGCGAGGGCAAAATATATCCACACACACGCACGCACGCACGCACGCGCACACACACACACGCGCACAATAAGAGTGAGAGCACAACATATCCACAGACATACACACACACACACACACACACACACACACATCCACAAAAATCTCTAACCCATTTATACACAGACACACACACACACATTTCTCTCACAATTACACACACAAATCTCTCAAACACATTCACACACACAACACTCAAATACTCAAAAATACACACAAGCACCTTTCACAAATACACACACAAATATTTCAAACATATTCATATACACACGCACACACACACACACACACACACGCACGCACAAACACACACACACACACACACACACCTTTCACAAATACAAACACAAATCTCTCAAACATATTCAAACATACACACACACACACACACACACCACAAATACACAAAAATCTATCAAACACACTCACACATAACTCTCTCAAACACACACATGGGTGCACACACACACACACACACACATATCTCTCAAATGCATTCATAAACATACACACACCACTACCAAACACATCTAAGCCATTGTTGCGGATTAACAAAGGTGTTCCTCAGAGCTCAGTTTTAGGCCCTCTTTTAGTTCTTTGTATTTTTTATTGTTATTATTATTATTATTATTATTTATTACATATATATTACATATATTATTTATAATATATATTTTTATTATATTTGTTGCCTAGAAACCAAAAAAGCTCATTATTATTACTGTAAAAAAATGAATGGGTAAAAATCTAGTCATTATGTTGGGTTAAACGAATAACCCAAAATGCTGGGTCAAGTAAAAATGTATTCTGTCCAACAATTAATCAGCAACTGATGCTAAAAAAGCAAGTGGATTTCTATTTAACAGTCAATTCTGTTTTTACTCCATGGATGTTGCAGTGCTCCCTATATCCTACACTGTATGAAATGCAGTGTTCCGCACATATCGTTCATGTTGTTCAGACACAAATCGATTAAGTTAGCTAAACAAATTTCAGTGGATTAAACAATTTAAAAATTAAGTTGTCCCAAAATAAATTCTCAATAATTGTGTTGTTTAAACAAATGACTCAGAAAGTTCAGATCTAGGCCATCATCGCGCATTAACAAAGGTGTTCCTCAGGGCTCAGTTTTGGGCCCTCTTTTAGTTATTTGTATTATTTATTATTATTATTATTATTATTATTATTATTATTATTATTATTATTGTTATTATTTTATTATTACAATTATTTATTATTATAATTTAATTATTTTTAATTATTATTATTATTATCATTATTATTATTATTATTTTATTATTACAATTATTTATTATTATAATTTAATTATTATTAATTATTATTATTATTATTATTATTATTATTATTATTATTATATTTGTTGCCTAGAAACAAAAAAAGCTCATTATTATTACTGTAAAAAAAAAAAAGAATAGGTAAAAATCAAGCCATTATGTTGGGTTTAAAGAACAACCCAACCTGCTGGGTCAAGTTAAAATGTGCTCTGTCCAATAATTAATCAGCAACTGATGCTAAAAATGCAACCTGATTTCTATTTAATAGTCAATTCTGTTTTTACTCCATGGATCTTGCAATGCTCCCTATATTGTATTTTCTGTTTTAATTGCCTAGATCTGTCTGTAACATGCAGGCCTGTTGTCAAGCAATGTGCTAAAAATGACAATAAAACCGACTTTGACTTTGAAGTGTAAACCAGAAACTCACATCCAGACACATTACGCGTATAAATAGCTCAGGTAAACTCTCTGTGGCTCTCAAAAACACACAGTGAGAGGAGCTTCTGCTGCAGTTCTCCATCAGTGTCCACAACAGGCGGAAGAGAAGAAGAGAGAAGAGAAAACTTGTATGACAATCAGTATGAGCCAATATAATGCCTGTAAATAAGATGTGCCGGAAAATATGCACTTAGATAATATTCACGCACACAAAAAATGAAAATGATCCATGGACAGGCACTGAGGAGGACTTCTAGTGGACAAACCAGATGCTAATATTCTCAATTGTTCACTGCAGAAGCATCATTAATTAGTCCATCTGATACAAACAAAGGCGTTTTTAACATAAAACAAGGTGCCTGAATAGTGATTTAACAAACAACGAGCACAACCTGGAGAACACAACCTGTGTGTGTGTGTGTGTGTGTGTTTGTGTGTGTGTGTGTGTGTGTGTGTGCGTGTGTGCGTGTGTGTGTGTGCGTGTGTGTGTGTTTGATGAAGCTGTAACTGCAGGCAGTGTGGGTGTGCAATTCAAGACGTCTGAAATATTCACTAGAGGAAAACCCACAGCCGCAGGTTTAACACACTCACACATGCACACACACACACACATGCGCAAACACGCTGAACTCTAAAGCAAAGTCTAATGTGCTTCTCAGCGTCGATATTAATTCAAAACAGTGGTGTACTGCAGATATGAGGTAACCTGCGCACCTTTCTGAAATACTGTCTGATGCTCCAATGGGGTCTGATTAGGTTTTGGGTAGTTGAGATAGTATACAGCGCTTTTATAATAACTTGTGCATATATAATTACTCTTATTGGAGTCATTTCTGAAGGATCAAATAACATGTGAGTATTAATGCTGAAAATTGAGCTTTACAGAACATGAATAATAATAATAATAATATAAATAATAATAATAATAATAATAATAATAATATAAATAATAATAATAATATAAATAATAATAATAATAATAATAATAATAGTAATATAAATAATGTAAATGATAATAATAATCATAGCAATAATAATAATATAAATAATATAAATAATAATAATGATGATAGCAATAATAATTATAATAATAATAATAATGATAATATAAATATTAATAATAATATTATTATAAATATTATAAATAATAATAATAATGATGATAGCAATAATAATAATATT